TTTTGTTTGTTTGTTTGTGTGTTTGTTTGTTTTTGGAATGCATATAGAACATTAAAAAATAGAGAAAATATTTGCACATATATCTAATACTTCAGTCTTTTAATGGAACCTGTTTTTTTGCTTACATCATTTTTTTTGTTATTATCTTTCTTCTATCCTTGACTTCTCTTTATTGATAGTGAATTTGTTGGCATAAACTTTCTCAGGGATTTTCCTGAGGAAATGTTTGGTCTTGGTACTTCAGTTAGCAAGTTAGTGTTTAAGATGACTAAGAAAATATAGCACCCTCTGTAAAATCCCATCTCCCATGATCTACTAGCTAAGGAATCAGAGCTCCTTACCCAGAATCAACTAGACACATTGCTTTCCTGCAACACTGGCAGCGTCATTGGTGGAGTTAAGACTGAAGGGGGCATTGGTTGCCCCTCTGAGCAACTGAATCCTGCTATGACCTAGCTTAGCGAACATGTGATGTTACATGAAAACCAATAAGTAACACAATGCATATTGGGATGTAATAAAATCAGTTTCATAAAGCCTTAGATATTAACTTTAAATGTAAATATCCCTAATAATTGACTATATCCCCAAGAACATATCTTGTGTCATTTTCTATTTACAGAAAAAAGCAATGTATGTAAATGAAATATATTCAAAATTATTTTCTGATTTGAATATTTACTATCAATGTATCGCTAATTGCTTGTAATTTTGCCTTCTGTCATTATGCTAATAAGATGAATAAAGTGTAGTCTGCAGTATTAATTTTTATATCTATTTTTCAATTGGATGACTGTATGCATTTATTTATGGCTTAGATGCATCTCATCTATTCTAGGTGCATAAATATTTTGTTTGCTTATTTGCATTTGTTTATATACATTTAATGAATTAAGATTTCACCTCACTTTACCATATCCAGACATCACTTCATTTATTTTTCTAATAGTATATGTCACGCAATATAGCATTTTTATGTTAATAAAGTATCTTTCGTGTGATGACATTAACTATTATGCCAAGAAAAGTATTGCTATTATGTGTTTGTGGGTGTGTGTATTTAATGTGATCTAATATACTTCTATGCCATTAAAGTCAGTGATATATTTTGAGAGTCAATTATTCTCAGCAACCGAGTATATTTGAAGGAAGCAATGTAGTGTAAATATTGAGGTTTTATGTGTAAAACATCTATAATATCTTTCAGGCAGTTAAAGATTGCTGTATACCTGGGTCCCTCAGAAGAAGCCACATGTATTATTAACACATTGGCTTCTGACACAGTTTTTTGAATGTCACCAAATAGTTGGATTACTGTGGCTCATTGTCTTTTATGGCACAAAATAGGAAGATTAGGCCATGAATAGAAGAAATCACACTCAAGTGAATACAAGCTGTTGAAATAATGTTTTCAAGATCAAACGCAACAACTAAGACCAAGAACAATAGGTGTTTGGTGGTTTCCATATTTTCATTAAATTCTTTAAGGAAAGTCTTTCTTATAACAATCTTAAAAAGCATGAATTATGTTTTAAAAATCTGTTATTTTGAACTTGACAGCCTATAAATTTAACATTAGTTTTAATCTTACTTATCATAGCCCTAATTGGAGCTTTTCAGATTTTTGGTGTGATCTTGGAAGCATGTAATTTCAGAAAAAAAAAAAAAAAAAAAAAAAAAAAAAAAAAAAAAAAAAAAAAAAAAAAAAAAAACCTTATATTTTATATTATCTTAGGTATTATCTTACATATCCTTATATGTTACATATATCTTCTATATTATGTATTTTCTTACTATGGTTTTAAATTATTTTTTTCTCTTGTTTAATGCTCCTTAGAAGCTATGATGTGAGGGAGGAGTGATTTTTTTGCAGCCTATTGGCTAGCACTGAAAGCAGTGCTGCGATGGGGTTAGGGACCAAAGAAAGGACAAAAGCTTAAGTGAAGAATTCATTCACCTATTTAATGTCCATCTACTAGTGCTACTAGAAAGCAGATACAGCTCTAAATTTGAGGATATTTTGGAATACAAAGATGATCTCCTGCTTTGAGTTCCTGGGCGTCATATACCTAATAAATAGTGTGAATATATAAAGATAAATGAAAAGAACTCTGCACAACATGTGTGATTCCTACTTCCCTGACTCAGCTGGGTTCTATCTGATAAAAGCTTTTGATATAAATAGAAGAGGAGGGTGTTTCATATCTTAATAGGATGGGGAACTATGGATCCATATGCCAAATGTGTTATGCCAAAAGAAAAAAAAATTGATATTATGGGAAGATCAATTACCCCTGTGCATTGCCTCAAATTTCTTCTTCCTCAGTTAATATTCATCTTCAAGGCCCAGTTAGGTTTTCTTCCAAAGCCTGATACTCTAACTGTGTTTTCCAAATATGGAAGCTGGATTTGAGTTTTGCATACAAATTAGTTTGTAGAGTTGGCTGATAAGTTGATTTTGTAATTACTTTTATTTAATACAATTTTTCACTAAATCAGGAAAATTATTGATTGGGAGATACATTAGGGAGCACTAAGAACTATATATATATAATTTCAAGATGTACTATAAATGGATTCAAACTCAGTTATATTAAAGGGTAGAAAACATCAATATTAGAATCTATGAAATGTAGAGTAACTAAAGGTTCATAATTGAATAATGCTTAACAAGTCCCCTGTGATGTAGCAAGCATGGGTACTATTGTCTGCACTGCAAAGGGGAAGCATGAGACTCACTGAGTCCACAAGTACCTGTTAAATATCCAGTAGGTGCCAGATATGATGCCAAGTTTTCAGCCTGCAAAGAGAACAAAGCAAACATTGTCTCTTTTTGTGGGATAAGTGGAGTTCTCCTAGCTGGCCAAACTCACACACTGTGTCAGACATCTAGAGCTCACATATATGCCTAGCCAGTCTAGCACAGAAATATGTTACCAAATTAGCCTCCTGAAAATGGTAACAATTTAGAAATACTAACTCTGATGCAAAACATACAGCATAGATAAATAATATATGCATTTCTCTTCTTTTTCCAAATATAATACATGTTAATGGTTTCCTGCACACCAGTTTCATTTTTAAACCTTTCTTCTGACCATAGGAGCTGATGCTGTGGAAGCTCAGTGTAAAAGATTTGAAGTGAGAGCCAATGAAGATGGCAGGGTGCTGTTTTCTGCAGATGAAGATGAGATTACCATTGGGGCTGAAAAGCTGAAGGTTACAGGTATGGTAGATGGAGGTCTCGGAAAATTGTTTACTTTTTGAAAGAGTATACAACTGCACAAGAAGCTACTTAATAAGGTGGAAGATCCCTATGTCTCAAATAGAGTCTGACATAATTACAGTGTTTATTTTTAAATAGTCTTCAATGGAAGGCACCAGTTGTGGTTGTAAAAGATAATGTAAATACTAACAGCCTTAATGGCTAAAGATAAAACTCTCAGGTGGAGGTAGGTGAAAGTGATGTGAGTGGGAGTGGTAGAAATGAAGTGCAAATTCTGCATAAAAAGGGCTAACAAATACTAATTTGGGAGTATTATTTTAAAATAGAAGACTTGTGAACTAAAAAGGAGGAGTGAGTCACATCTTACATGGCAGCAGGGAAGAGAGAGAGCTTGTGCAGGGAAAGTCCCCTTTATAAAACCATCAGATCTTGTGAGACTTATTCACTATCATGGGAACAGCACAGCAAACACCTTCCCCCCACAATCCAATTACCTCCTACCGGGTCCCTCCCATGATATGTGAGAATCGTGAGAGCTACAATTCAATATGAGATTTGGGTGGGGACACAACCAAACCCTATCACAAAAACAATGGATATTTTTTTCCTTTTTTTTGAGAAGGAGTTTCATTCTTGTTGCCCAGGCTGGAGTGCAATGGGGAAATGTCGGCTCACTGCAACCTCTGCCTCCCAGGTTCAAGCAATTCTCCTGCCTCAGCCTCCTCAGAAGCTGGGATTACAGGCACATACCACCACACCCAGCCAGTTTAGTATTTTTAGTAGAAATGGGGTTTCACCATGTTAGTCAGGCTGGTCACAAACTCCTGACCTCAGGTGATCCACCCACCTTGGCTTCCCAAAGTGCTGGGATTACAGGCATGAGGCAGCAAAAATGGAAATTTTAACTTTAGAATGAAGTAAGGGAGAAAGTTCTAATAAAAGTAAACAAATTCATTTTTTATAGAGTTCATAATTATCCTCAAAGTTATATAAGTTAAAAACTAATGCTATGCATATATTAAGAGTCATTTTTATAATATTTGGGTCATTAACGTCAACCACCAATTTAAATTAAAATTTTTAGGAAGTTAGAAGTGGGACCAAGAGTGGGGAATAATTTGATGACAATTTTAAGTACAATCTCTTGTGAATTACTTGATTCACAACCATGACAAATTTTATTTTGATAAAATATTTAACAATCCCTTGAAAGTACCCCAAGAGGGCTAGATTTTAAAAACCAAGAAGAAAATAATAAAGTATATTTGACTTAGTGTTTCCCAAACTTGAGTTTGGAAATAGAGCATGGGGTATCTCTTCATATTTATTTGGGTTATACAGTCCCATGGGCCATCTGAGAGCAGTTAGCATGGCAATTGAAGAACATCAATTCTGTTCTTGGGCTGTTTGGGTTGAATTCTGGCTCTGCCTTTGAATATATTCAACTTTCAATGCCTCTGATTTTCCCTTATCTGAATGATTGAAATGATAATAATATTAGTGTTCAAATTAAATGCATGTGTATGCATTTGTGTGATGAAAATGTGCTCAGTACATAATGAAGAGGTTGTGTTGGCTCTTTATATTTATTAATGATGATAATATTGATATTGCAAATGTGGCTGACAAGAGGGCCTATGTTTATTTCAAGAAAGGTACATTAAACTAATGCAGGAACAGAAAGCCAAACACCACATGTTCTCTTTTATAAGTGGGAGATATAAATGATGAGAACACATGAACACATAGAGGGGAACAACATACGCTGGGGCCTGTCAGAGGGTGGAGGATGGGAGAAGGGAGAGGATCAGGAAAAATAACTGGCAGGTACTACATTTAATACCTGGGCAACAAAATCTGTACAATGAACCCCCAGAGCACAAGTTTGCCACTGTAACAAACTTGCACATGTACCCCTGAACTTAAAATAGAAGTTAAGAGAAAATGATGTATTGGCTGGACATAGTGACTCACGCCTATAATCCCAGCACTTTGGGAGACGGAGGTGAGAGGATTGCTTGGTTCAATACCGGCCTAGGCAATATAGTGAGACCTTGTGTTTATAAAAATATTTTAACAATTAGGCATGATGGTGTGTGTCTGTAGTCCTAGCTACTCAGGAGGCTGATGTGGGAGGATGACTTGAGCCCAGGAGGTCAAGGCTGTAGTGAGCCAAGATCATGCCAGTTCAGTCTAGCCAGAGCCAGATCCTGTCTCAAATATAAAATAAAATAAAAAGATGTGTTATGAAATGGTGATGAAACTCAGCAGGGATTACTGAATGGGGATCCTCATTGGGTATCCCCTGGCCTGAATCAAATCCCATCACCCTTACCTCAACCTCTGTCCCTCTGTCTTGGGAGTGTGTTCTGCTGAGAGGGTGGAGCCTCCACCACTGGGTGAGTGTTTAGGGTGGTCCCCATGAATATTTACCTGCATGATGTTCATTTTTCTTAAGACTTCTTTGGCAGGTGATGAAAGGAGGCATCTATGGAGAGCACTGATTGACCTTCTTGAGTCCTGAATTAGGAGAGCAGGGACAGAAAGAGAAAGAGAAAGTTCTGTTTGCCACAGAACATAGACAAATCAGAAAGGATATTGGTTTTAAGCCCCTGAGCACTAACATTTGAATTGCTTCTTGATAAGTAAGTCAGGTGCTCTAGGGTAGAAATGCCCTCGGGGGAACTGGGCAATATTAATAATCTTTGAACCTTGGTAATGCCTACTGGTCATCACTCTTGAGACCAACATAATCCTGAGATAAATTTTAGGATATTACACACTTATCAAAAGTTTATTTTATCCATATTCAGGTATTCTCATTGGGTAGTTTATAATCATAAGTAAAGGGAGATTCTAGAGCTCCTGGCAGATTTTACAATCTCATGAAATTTTCACTTCCTCTGATGTTTCTATTACCTTTACCTGTCTCATAACAGTTTCAGTGAAATAATGGTGGGTAGTCACATTCATTTTCTTCTTTTGCTTAGTAGCCTGGATGCCATCCTTGAATTATTGCTTGGACTAAGTGCTTCCTTAGCCCAAATAGGTGAGAAAGTGCTTCCTGAAAAATCTGTTTTTCTGCTTTTTAATTAAATGCCTTAAGGCAGTTATCTTTTCTTTCTCCCTTTCTTGTTCTATCTCTTTTATGTCTGTCTCTCTCTATTCTTCCTATTGCTTCTCCTCCTTTCACACCCCATGTGTGTGTAAAATGTGTCTGTGTGTGTGTGATGTGTGCATGAGATTTATGTGACCATGTGTATAAATGGATAAATGTTTCACACTGCTCTCTTTTTCCATTTTTTTCTCTCTCTCAAACATATACACATAGTCTTGCATTTATTCTTTATAATGTTCTTGATTGATCTATATTTTCCTCAGATACCTCAGATACCACTAACTAATTAGAAGTCTATGTCATATGCTTTCAGATGATCTTAAGTAATAAAATTATAAGCAAATTATTATAAAGGGTCAAAACATAACACTTAGAATGAAAGAAACACCAACAATCTATGAGAGTACCTGCAGCAAACAATGTCGACTTTTAACCTGATACGGATGTACAAGAGGCTAAACATTGTTAACAAATAAATGCTAAATTAGAGAGTATTTCATTTGATTAGAACTCTCCTTACTACCTAATCACATTTCTGTGTCTCATAGAAGAGCCCATTTGCCACTCACACACCGTAGAGACACAAACATACACATAGGCACATACACATACTAATTCTTGCCAGCCTTTACTCCTTTGCCAGCCTTTACTCCTTTACCAGAATAACAGATATTAACTTTATGGCAGCTTCATTCATTCCTATGATATTCCTTAAGGAAAGAAAAATAAAAATATCAAAGGCAAATATAATTTAGAATTTCACCTGCTTAGAGGAAAAAAAATGTGCGTAGCATAGCATGCAGTTTTAGGGCATTGAGATTGATTCGTAACCTCATATATACTTTAAAGAAGTGTTTGAATCATTTGACAAATAACGGTACAAAAGACATTAACTCCAGGGTGCTCCATGTACGTTAGATAGCTATGCTGACAGGACTTCAAAGTTACATGTGATGAAAGGTGTGTATGTGAAGTTTATTCTAGAATTTCAAATTTGTGGCACAAACATTTTCTATTAAAGCAACATTTATTGGAATTAAAATGGATCCCTTTCAGCTTTATATTTTTTGAGCAAAGCCATTTTATAAAGGAACCTGACTTTCAGGATGGTGAGAGTGGATGGATTCATTTACACAATGGGTGTGTCTGTACATCTGAGGCAAAATCAGTTATGACCATAATCATTCACAGATCTAGGGTAGCTCATGATATTTAAATTCACTCTACCTACAAAGCTGCAGGAATTTACCTGATACATTCCAGTACTCATGGGTGCAGGGGGACTAAATTAAAATGGTGAACACATACCTGAACATGACCACCTACCAATACCCCATCACCACAAAGAGCAGTCACATGCTTAAGATTTGTAATTGTTTACTCTTGACATTACTTGCCTTGTGCAGTAGAAGTTTGCTTAAATCGTAGTATAATTATCCTTATTTGACCTTAAGATGCTCTCCCTGTATCACTGAATATATAGGAGCTTTATACTTTAGCTGACCTACGCACAATTGAAAACTTTATTTTTATTTTGTATTTCCTGCTATTGGCCAAAAGTATGATTTAATTCAGTTATCTTTTGAGACATAGTCAACAACAACAACAAAAAAGGAATAAACCTTTATACACAGAAGTCTCTTAAATTTAGTGCTTTCAGGCAGAATCAATCAACTGCAATCTGTGGTTTCATTCGTATTCCACGTAGTATATTAACTTTAGAAAACAAATTTCACGAATAAGCCACTCTGCTGTAAAAAGTGAAAGACTTTAGCCCTGTAAAATACTTTCATGATAAATTAAAAGCTATTAGTTAGACTTAGAGCTAGACCAATTTTTTTTTCTATGATGTAAAAGAGGACAATAGCTAAATGTACCAAGA